CTCTTTCCCATACTCTTATTTTTTAATACAAGATTCTTGTAATAGTCTGCCTAAGTGAAAAATTAATGTATTTTGAATGAATATATATATAGATATATATTTGAAAAGCTCTGGGGAAAGGTAGCGTTGATCGATTTATTACAAAAGTGAAAGTGAAATTTTAAAGGAACGTTTTATATCTTTTCGCTTTCAGTTTAGAGCAGTAGTGCTAATGAATTTCTGCTTTTGGTGGGGGGCTGTGTTGCCGAACATTGTATGGCATCCATGAAACGTTCAGTTGTCCAGTTAAAATCGGAAACTGATTTATTAAACCTTTTTCCCTTTTGATTTAAAATATGTATCCTCGTTTATTCGGTTGTCTGGAAGTGAAGTTTTGTAAGTTTCAAGACAGTGGTGTAATCTTTTCTCAAACATAAGTGGTGGTTCATAGACCCTCCTTGCTGTTTATTTGCTGGTTGGGTGGAGTGTGGGCCGCACACTAGGTTTAGGAAATCCCTTGAGACTTTGGTCAGGTAGCTACTTGGATGGCAGAGGGCTGTGCATTCAGCCTTCCAGATAGCTTGGCTCCAGTAAATGGCCCTCTCCCCACAAGTGATTCTTTAGTGGGAATTTCTGAACATTTATCAGTAGAGAACTAACTTTGTGTAGTGGTCCTGTAAGTTATTTGTGTTTGGAAAGCTAATGCTCGTAAGTGCTAATATGCTTTTCTGTGTGAGAAGCAGTTTATTAGTGCTTGAAAATCTGGGGTTCTTTTGCAGGTTACCTGGATGCACACAACCCCCTCTTTGATGTGTTTTTCTTTATCCCTTTTCTCCCTGCTATCCTGATTACCCTCTTTCTTGCCTCCAAATTGATATAACATAGATTTGAACTTTCTTTTAAAACACTTGTTTATGTAATACACTTAAGTTCTCAAACTTGATTTAAAAATCGGGTGAATTGAGTTTTGGGGAGTGTGGAATACAGGCCCTGAATAAAAAAAAGAAAGTTACTTATCTAGGTTACATTAACTCTTACATATTTTTTCACTCTCTAGAATGTGTCTTCATCCTTCAAGAGTAATAACTTTTGACTTTTCTTACTGCTTATCTGTTTTGGCTGTACTGCCCCTGTCAGCTGTTTGATTCTCTAGCAGCCTCACTCACCCCTTTGAACTGGTGTGCTAGTGAAGGTTGAGTAGACAGCTCCATTGCTGTGTGTGATTCTTTGGGAGAGAGTAGTTGCATGCACAGGACAGAGAAGCAGCAAGGGATTTCGCGACAGAAGGCAGAATCCGATGGTCCAGTGTTGTAGGCAGAAGTCCCAGTGCTGGTTATGGTGCTGCCTAATTTTGCACCCTTGATTGAGTCATTTTACAAACTTGGGCCTTGGTTTTCTCATCTGTAAAATGATGACCCAGCCAGTATTGATTTGAATAGTATATGTAGATTTGCTTTTATGCTTTATCACAAAATAGCATGCATAACTTTGTAGTATTGTAAACACTAAATTTTTAATTTAAAAAATTCAGATATAGAAAATATTTATTATGGATATAGTTCATGGTTCAAGATAGCTTTTCTTCATGTTTATCTGCCAAGGTGATTGGTCTTTTGTGTTGAAATAGCCAACATACAGGAGAATTGATAAGCTCTGCATCGAATTGTTTAAGTTCACTACTTTAGGGATTTATCTTATCTTTTCTCTTAGAGAATAATAGCAGGTTAAGAAATAGAAAAGTGTAATAAACCTTGCTACATATTATCAACTTTGAAATACGTATTTTTTTTTTTTTTTTTTTTTT